AGAGTACAATTTTGTGAATGAAGCATCCGGCGGAGGGTCACCGCAGGTCTCAGCGGTAAGTTCCCAAAAAAACAATTTTGTTATATACCTATTTTTAATACTAACTACTTGTTTCCTTTTCTCCCTGACAGCCATGGAATCTTGGCTGTCGTGCACTACCGCATCGTCTAGAGTTCACTTTTCTCCACCTCTTTCTAGAAAGAAGTGTATAATTCGGAGAAAGATGAAGATCATCCAATAGTGATCTACGGATAGCTAACAAAAACTTGTGGATATATATATATATATATATATATATATATAGAGATATATATCCACAGTTATAACTTCAGCTCTTTCTAGAAAAACTTATTTAGGATCTATATAGACGGTCAGTTATGTATTATCAACTATTATTACTTCAGCTCTTTTTACAAAAGCTTGCTTAGTATCTATATAGACGGTTATATATTATCCACAATTATTAACATCTTCTTTTTTTCTTGATAATTATTACTCCGCAAACTGTTTTCCATTCTTACTCGTATTGTTTTTTTTATACAAACAATAACACAAAACAATAAACATAATTAAACCCCACAAATTTGTATGTTCTCTGACCAACTTAAAAACTTAATGCTTCCGAAACCGACACATATATCTTTACTATAAACATTGACTTCACCCGTTCGGTACCATTTATTTTAGATTGAAGCATCTATAACCCTTTCAAATATTTTAAACTTTTTGTTCGAGGTTCGGATCCATTTATTTTAGAATTATCGAAATAAATTAAAAAAATGGTTAAATTTGTATAAAATTTGGTTCGGAGATATTTTGCTTATTTTAAGTATTTTAGTTATTTCGGTATAACAATAAATGATATTTTCGAGTTTTTAATTGTATTTTTTTTTCATATTTTCAGTTACTTTTTATCAGTCCAAAATATATAATTAATATTTTGGGTTAAATAGTTTCATTTTGGGCACCCATCCATTCTCGTATGAAATAATTCTCCCACCAAGCAAGCCAATACCATCTGTACTTCAAATAAGAGTGTGGGTAAAGCAGAAGTTTTCACAAACACATGCCTTTTATCCAATGCAGAGGGTGGAGAAATCTTCACCTTCTGTTAGAGTGCCTTTACCAAACTCGTCTAATAGACACACAGATCTTGAAGTTGCCTGCCTAGAGAATTCAAATCAGTCACAATGATTAGGAACACGATCATAAGTCATGAACAATGCACAGTTGAATTTTGATTGGTATTTTCATTCTTTGGTCCCCATGAACTTAAATAATGGAGCTCGTGAACTAGAAGTCATTAACTGACTGAAGCGATTGAGACCGGCTCACAAGGCCTATCAGTAGTGGAGCTGCTTGAAATCAAGTTAAAAATAGAAGCAGTTTGGAATACTTGAGCATCATTCCTCCCTGATGCAGATCTTTCATAAATGTAGATTGCTCCGCAGTCATGAACTTGCTTCCCATTGCACAAAATATCTTGTTGTAGTACGACTAATCTTAGTAACGAAAATATACATAAAAAGCGATTGTAAAAAGGATAAAAAATAATGCATGACGTTAAGACCT